CTAAACCAAAATGTCAATTATGTCAAATTTATTTATCACATTCATAACATTCTGTACAAAGTAAAAAAATATTTTCATACTTTTGTTAGTACAAAATAAAGCTGCACTGGTTATGGTAATTATTCTGAGAAAAATACATTATTCAAAGTGAAAATGTTCTGCCATATGATGATATTTAGTAATAGCTTCAATGAAAGTATTCTTTCTCATACTTCATTGATCACTACACATTGTTACAAAAGCCATTGCTGGTAAAGGCTACAAGGTATACTTATAAAGATATTATTAAGTTAATATTCATTCTATTTTAATCTATGTTTTAACTTTTTTAAATATCATAATAAAATTATTAAGATATAAATAACACAATAATTACAATATGTGGACATACAACCTTCATAAGGATTGATAGATAAATATTTGTAGTTTTACAGTAGTCCCGTATGATTATGAATCTGATGAAGTACTCGACGCAATGTGTTACATCATGAGAATTGAAGTTAACAATTACGTTCATATCGTTTAAAGCTTTTATTTCATCTGAATAATATAATAAGTTGCAACATGTCTACACAAACTTTTCTGATGTGGAGCGATTTATAATAACTGTCCAAAGCAAATACATTTCATCATTCTTTCATCTCATTAGTCCTTTGATCTTTATATTTATACCTAAGAAATTATGCACGTTCAATATTATATTATATAATAGTTTTAATGATTACGAATTGCTATTTCTATGAAAATTTTATTAAGTACTAATAAGAATACGAGTTCAAGTTCATTTCAATTACGTAGTTATATGAATTTCGATAATTTTACTATATATTTATACAGATTTTATAAATAGATTATAATAATGATGTTTAGGTTGTATGTATTTACTTTAAACAGCTATTATAAAACAATGTATAACTTATTCATTAAAAAAAACTGTTATTTTTTGACAAATACTATAATTAAATTGAACTAATTACAACAATATAAAGTTTTTTTTTTATATATAAAAGCAACGGCTTTAAAACCAAAAATTCATTTTTTTCCTTAATAATATTTTTTTAATTATTAATAAATTTACATAAGCTGTTTCAACGTCATGCATAGACTCCAAATTTATTTGTTACATTGACACCCAGCACCCACCTACGCGTGACACATTTGTTACCATAAAAAAATATAATTATGCAAAAAACAATTATACAACCCTTCTAATTTGACTTTTATTAACAATTGGGAAATTCAAAAATGCAAAATTGTGATTTGTGACATTGATTGTATAGAAATCATCAAATACACTATATGGGACACTCAAATTATTACCAAGTAATTTACAAATATACTCATTTTCTAAATATTTACTAATTATATAAACCGAACTATTTACAAAATATGAACAAGTCGACTGGGACAAGTCATCTTTCTTATAAATCTGTATATATTTACAATGACTATTTATAGACACTTACATTATAAATTTGAAGAGCATTGCATTTTATGAGCTTGATCAAAGTAATCCCTTGTTCAATAAATCGGTTCAACTATGTTCTACATGCACACTCGTTTGTGATCAGACACGATTCAATTCAAATTTCATGTCATTTATTTCATCTTAACAAGCCATTGAACAACTTGTGTGGCATTACTCACTTTAAAGGTGCAAAAGCAACAATTATTATAAGAAATCAGTCTTGAATCAAAGTAAGCCATCATTACTATTTCATGTTTCAACTTTGAACTTTATACTGGATAGCCTACAAGTCATATTTTTGCGCTGATCTTTCATTTACACCACTTACGTTCATATAAGGCATAGAATATCAGGGAATTCCAAAGCTTAGAATAATGTGAATCTATCCAAGCAGCAAATAGTGGCAGTGGTTTGTACTAGGCTACAAAATGAAATGTTCAGGTCTGTTGGAACTTTTTTAAATATCATATGCATAATCAGAACAGATCATAAAATAAATTTACAACTCGCTTATAATTACTTTGTCCCACTCTGATAACTCTAAAACTGGTTCTACTTGTACTAATGGGCATGTACTAAATATATTATACTGCAGGCATGAAATAACAAATTGCTTAGTTCATTATCCTTATTGTTCTGAATGAAATAAAAATAACTTTACTTTGAAATCATTGTGTACATGGCTCTGATAACTTTAATTGCGTCTAAAATATGTCAGGCGATAATGTTATTTTATATGTCATTTTAATGGAAATCAAATATTGACGGAAATAGTGGTGAATTTTGAAAAAGTACATACCTGTTTTGATTTTAACATCAAGTTTATTACATATTTTGATAAGCATATGAGTTTATATTAAATGAATTATGGCACTAATTCTAATTATTATAGCTAAATGCTGCTGTTTCGTATGGTGAGTGTAGAGAACCAAAGACCCTTTTTTTGGATACGAGGAATTACATCGTAGTCGTCAGCGGTGACGACGCTTCTGCATTTTGATTATAATTCGATTCGATGATAGATGCAGATGTCTATGAGACACAGCATCCACTTACATCAGGTGAGCTGTGTGCTCGCTAATCACTCTTATTATATTTAAAAAAAAAAACAAGTAAATTTATAGAGTTCCAACATATCTCACTTTAATTTGTAACTCCATGAATGCCACAAAATATGGCCCTGGACCACCTGCATCCTTTGACTACCCTCACTCCACCCGAACCCTGCGCTCGCCAGCAAGAGGCTGCCACTCGAACCTTTCATCCATTCACACGTAAACAACTTTAATACTTCGGATAATATGTCTACTGAGATATTGGTAATTCTGTATACACCACAAAAATATTTTTATAATAATTTATGATGACGATTGTTCAAGAAATAACACTCGCTGTTAATTTTATTTTACACGAGCAATCCAAGCAATGAAAAATGAGAATCAAATATTTTGAGGACATGTGAAGACCGCCAACACGCACTTAAGGAAATTCAACAAGTGGACTATTACACCCTCAGTATTGAGAGGACTATGCTCAGCAGAGGGACGTATACTAAATGTAACAAAAACCCCGTGCTTCTCAGTTAGTAAGTAACTTTGCTTCAGAAAACTGGACCTAAAAAAATCAAATTAAACTGAAATATATTTTAATTGCACATTGTATGTGAGGTACCTCTGAGGTTACCTCTGCATTGGCCGGGGAGTAAGAGTATTATCAAAGACCCCGCTTTTCGCACTTCAGACGTGAATAACATTTTTTCGTAACATTGAATTTAAGAAGTTACCTTCTTATGAAATTCCTTTAATAACGACCAAAAAAAATCCGCCTATATGTTCGTTTTGTTACATACTTTATAGATTGTAACTGTACACTTTATGATGATGATATCCTTATCACAAATATTAGTCAGTCGTTTATCAACTGTGCAGGAAATATTAGTGTTATAGTTACAATCCAACTACGACCTTCTCCTTTGTATTGTAGGTATGCTTTCGTTAATTACACATAAACAAACGCCCAAAACCGAAACAATTATTTATAGACCATAAATACACTTGTTCTTAGCGGAAAATCGAAACCGCTACTCGCTGCGTCGCCTCCAGACGATTAGTTACTGCACTACCAAGCTTAATAGTGCAGTATTAGGGGCACAGGAATAATCAAAACACAACTAGATTGGAAAAAAAATAATTTGACTACACACTAGACTAAACACAAAACTTATACAAAGAAATGTTTTCACTTTTTCCAGTGTCCCCCTACCTATCTTTATTTTTTTGTCTCTTTCTCTCTCTCGGTCTCTTTCTCTCTTTTTCACGGTTTTTCTTCTCGTCTCTCTCCAGTCTAAATTTTTTAAATATTTATAAGCAAAAGAACTTCAACACTTTAAAATTATTAGGCCTGTTAAAATCCCATATCATATAAGGTTTAATTACTCAATGACTTCAAAGTACATACAATCTGTGATTAATCTCTTATAACTTACTGATTGATTGATCTTATTCAATAATTTGTTAAGTCTTTTAATTTATTTGTCAAATATTTATCAAACATTCATTTATCAAATATTTTAATATATTTGGCAAGGAGTAACTGGTACAGATTTTTTATTGCATTTCAGTCTAAAACTGACTGCAAAAAAATGTTGAGAACAGTACCATACATATTTTCATGCAGTTTACACCTTTGTCTACACCATTTAATGAAATATCTTTTAAAATTTAAAATTATATACAAAGGCACAAAAAGTGTTATGTCTTAAAACCCTAAAATCTACGTAGAAAGTTTGAAATAGCAACAATTAAATTTACATCTTTTTTTTGGTTTTCAATTACTTAAAAATATTCATATCTAATTTGAGTATCAGAATATACAAAAAATTGATTTTACTCATAATCAAAGCCACAGCTCGAGCTCAGCTGTGGTAGCTATATTTTAACAAATATGGAATTCCCTCTCCATTCTAAAACAAAACCTTCAACGATATTTATTATTTTGTATATTGCACTTTCAATAATTTAGAAAATTTACATACAAAACCGCAATACTTTCAGTGACAAATTTTGGAGAATGACATCTATATAAAGTCTACTTCTAAAAAATTACATTGTATTAATTTTTATTGTAATATTAAACTTCCATAACACAAGTAATTCCTACTTTATCCATAATTCCTAAATAAAATTTTGTCATAAATGAAAATTTGAAAGTGCAATACAGGAGAATTTTTACCCTCATAGAAAACAAAATGGTTTCCAGGGAGCGCATAAAGGTCTAACACTGTACACCTACAGTAAATTTCAATTCAATCTAGTTAGAAAAATGTCAGGTTGCACTATTACAAAGGGATTAATTTCCGCTCTAGTTGGAAGGCCGCATCTCAATCGACTCAAGTCGGCGTCCATTTATTCTTGCCACGAGGTAAGGAGACAAGGATGCCAATCAGGGCAAGAGCCACAACATAACTCACCTCAGTGGACCGGAATAATGTGACTACTGAAAACGCTAGCATTTAGCAGCGCACCAGTGATTCCTACTTTTCCGTCGATTCTGGGGGAGCTCCTCCGAAATCCAATTGGTATCCACCCGCTCGAGTCATCTCCTCCATGCTAGGCTCCTTGCACTCGTGACCGGCGTGACCTGCTCCACCACAGTTCCAACATGATAATTTAGGGGGAGCATATAAAACGGGAACAAAACCAGCATACGGAGCTGGGGTGGGGTAAGGCGGAGGTTCACCATTCGCGTATGGCTGCGGTGGCGGTCGGTAGGCTGGTGGGGGAGTGGGATAGGCGTATGGTCGGGGGTATGGTAAAAAGGGGACAGGTGGAGGCGCATTGGGTACTGAAGGGGCAGAGGGAGCCGAAGGCGTGGCTCTGCGCGGCGGCGGCGCGGGCGTGCCCGGCGGCGACGACGCCGCGCTCGACCCGCTGTCGGAAGACGAGCGCGTGGGGGGGATGTAGGCACCTGCTCGTCTTCTTACACCATTCAACTTTTCTAATGACCGGTATTGTTGATGAACGGCACTTATTTCTCGTAACCTCTCTTCTCCGATATTATGCCGTATCTGTAAAGAATGTGATATTTAAGAATTAATGAAACTATACTTCTATTGATAATCGAGTCAGCAGCAGACTATTTTTGAAAGTACTTAAATATTCTAACCTGCCTGGGTTAAGTAACCTAGCCTGGCAAGTGAAATGATTATGGCAAGTCCTCGCTACAAAGAGAGAGGCCCATGTTTAACAGTGGACTTTAAGGGCAGATGAAGAAGAAAATGACAAAAATTCATCGATATATATGTACTACGCACTAGATTTCGCATTCCGAACATTGACTATGTTCAACTCAACTGTACTGCAATCCGTACACTAAAGTAAATATTGCGTAAATTGAAGATTTGTGAAATCCATAAGATAATTATTATTACATTTTATTTAGAAATATGTTTGTTTAGATTAAAATAAGAGTATATTAAATTCTTATAGTTATTTTATATTAAAGTGTTCGCGCATGCGCGGTTCTACTATCCCTCCCGCGCATGCGCGAAGACAGAATAGCGCACATTTTTTGTTTGGAATAGCTTCTCTAATACATAGTACATATAACTTAATGCAAAAATTATAAATATAAAAATATCCTAGTCCAGGGGTCGGCAACCTGCGCCTCGCGAGCCACAGTTTCATACGCAAATATTATTTATTTTATAAAAAAAAAAAACATTTAAAACTCGATCCACATTGAGCCATTTGGAGTTGATACTGGATCTCTAGAAATGCAATTGATCGATTTAAAAAGTAAAGCTTTGTGGAGTTGAAAATTTACTGAGTCGAAAAGAAAGTTGAAAGAGTTGGAGGTCCAGAAATGTATGTACGTAACGCAATAAAAATGGACAGCTTTAAAAGAAATACCGCGAGTTGAGGTACTTATATAGGACGTTAGGACTTTGAAAGCGTTTCCGTGGCTCTGCCAATGTGCGGCGAAGGTGGAACACCATGGGGTTTTAGTAAGTGCGAGTCCGACATACTCCGTTCTTGCCCCCGTGACACGGGTATGCGTATGCATTTCCTCATTTGAAACCCGCAACAAAATCCGTTCTGTAGTTACGAATAAAAATGTAGATAGACCAACGCAGCGGCGATCTTGGTTTTATATGAGGTATAAAACTTGCGTCTAAGATTTAGGTATTAATTGATAAATTTATTTATTGTATGGCATTATATTAATATGATTCATAAATAGCATGCACTTTACGAGTAGGCCTGGGTACAGAATTTTTATTGATATGTTTTGTCACATTGTCTTATCTCTATTATTAGTTCCTTGGACGTTCACTTCTGCTGTCAGCGCCAAAATGGCGCAAATCAAATCGCCTCATTATGTCACGGTGTATAGCCAGTCCATATATAGAGGTCAGTGATATAATGTGATAATTTATTTTTGTCATTTAACAAATTCTTATTTTTTTAGCGATTTCTAGTCAATTTTTTTATTTATTTGAACCAAACTATCAATCATATAGTTTCTATGGAATATTGATACAGTACTAGATTTTCCATTTTTCGATGAAGCTACTCAATGCACTATTTTCTTGAGAAACATTGAGAATTTTGAAAACTAATTGCTTTAAACATTATGTACCTAAGATGTGGTGACTGTTGTTCGTAATTAATAAAAGCGTGATATAATAGATCCGGTAAAATGTTTCTTTGTTTCTTCGTTTTTCTTCAAGTAATGGGTCGGCTCGACTGGGGAAGGACCACGCTCTCACAGAATACCAGCGTAAAATAGCAGCTAACGCTGCTGTGTTTCGTATGGTGAGTGTCTACACTCACCATACGAAACACAGCAGCGTTCTCTAGAAAGGTTCTCTAGAACCGGAGACCCTTTTTATTGGCAAAGAGGCATTCCATTTTAGTCCTCACGGGTGACAACACATCTGCATCTTGAGTCTTTATTGATGATAGATGTAGATGTCTATGGGTCACAGTAACCACTTACCATCAGGTGGACTGTGTGCTCATTCGTCACCCTATCCTATAAAAAAAATATGTATATTGTGTTTTTATTTTTACCAAAATATATAAGCGAAATACCACTGACTGACCTAATGATATCTCTAAAACTATACACCCGATTGACTTGAAATTTAGTATAGTTACTCATTTCACAATGCAGACGCTCACTAAGAATGGATTTTAGGATAGTCCAAAAAATCATGATATTTTATATCTACGTTATTATCGTCAATGGGGAACACAAAAGGGTCAAAATATTACTACCAAATACTATTAAAATCGTAGCAAAGATCATGTACATTATATTACTTTTTATTTCACTTCAATACATGCAGTATTTCCGAAGTTATAATGACGAGAAGTTTAAGCCCTTTTTTGAATTTCAGAGATTACGCGTGCTCACACTATGACGTCACACCCCCGCAGACCGCAACCGCGACACAAACGCGGCGCTCGGTCCGGTGCGATTTGACCAAATTACGCGGGTCTGGTTTCATTTTCTTTCGATCGTCTTTGTATTCCTATTACTTAGTGTTTGTACTTGTATTTCAAAGAAATAATATTATCCTCTAAATGCGATTACACTAAAGTGAAACGTGTAGTGCTAGAATGGAAGAAGGTTTTGTAAAAGGATAGTCGGACAATCTGCCACGAGTGGATAGTTTGATGGTGGCATAATATTTCATGAAGAATCAGGTTTTTACGGCTGCTGAAATTCATGGAATAAAGATGAAAAGGTACGTACCTATGTTCTAAGTAAGCATTAGGTACCAACTCTCCTCGGTAAGCATTAGTAAGTTTGAACAAATACATATGTATGCATTTGTACAAACCTAAACCTAAATGAATGTTTGTGTGTTTCATTTAATACTTACCTAATATGGGTGGCGATAAAAAATACTAGGTACCTACTCGTAACCCACATCTCGAGATTGTCGATGATTATTTTATGTGTTTTATTAGTTTAAACTTACAGATGTCGATATTTACCCATATACCATATAACAACAGTGGGTAAGTCCTACTACCTAGGTACTTATTTACGTAGTGATTAGTTTTCTAACTAGGCAAATAGGTACCTATTGTTCTATTGTTATACTAAAACAGATACTTACCTATTTTTGATTAATTTTATCCTATGCTTGTTTTAGTTTATTCATTTACAGTTATTTTTTAAATTAAAATATATAAAAAATCTGTGCTGATCAACTTGTGGGTCGCAAATTTTTACTTTTAATTAATGCCCGACACAAAAAGAGGGGTGTTATAAGTTTGACCACTATGTAAGTCTATCATCTGTAGTACCGTCTGTAGTACTGTAGGGTGAACCGTGTTGTTTTTTTATTTTGTATTTAATGTTGTTTTTAACAGTGGTTCATAAACATGTTTTATCAAAATCGGTTAAGCCATTCTAATAGTACATTAAAAACGTACGTTTCGTAGTTTTTTTATTCGAATTGTTATATGGTTCTAGGTCAGGAAGAGAGAGCTACGGGGATGATGCTATATATACAGTTAGAAAGAGAGGGAGATGTATGTACCGTTTAGTGCCGAATAACTCCTGAACACAAAGTGCATTCAAAACCTTACCACTGTGTTTTGCAATGCAATGAGAAGGAAGAGGAGATAATACGCATATCCTGTGAAGATTGTGCCGCTAGCAAAGGCGGATGTAAACATGGTCTTCACAGCAGTGCGCTTTAGTTTTAGAGCCTATTAAATCGACTCTTTTTACGGCTGTCATCCACTTTTTCCTCATTTTTGGGTCCTCAGGCACATAAAAAAAAGAGTTTATCAGATGTTTTAACTTTTGAATTGAAGCACTAAGGCACAATACAGTATTTTTTTTCCATTTTTACCACAGAGAACTTTAAAGTCCTGAGTTTTACTACGCAGCGGCGTGCAGTACGAGAGCGCGATTGTTGTTTGAGCGGGGGTGTGACGTCATCCGCTAGTGAGCGCCTGCCCGCGTTTTTAAAAATCTTCGTTCGGAAACACGCACTTTGATCGTTATCTCAGCCAATTTTTAAGATATAAAAAAAGTAAAAACACAGTTTTGCTCATATTATTTTGTAGATTTATTTGGCATGTAAAGTATAAAACGTTTATCAGACCCATTATCGTGCGCCCAGCGAAGCGAGCGGGTATCGTAGGGTAACTAGTACATATATATTTAGCAATTTTTGGTGTCATTTTGCTTAGACGAAATTAGCTCAATTAGTGACTTTTGAGAATTGATCTAGCAAATGTAATTTTTTGTCCCTTTGTCGTATCTCCTCAGTTTCAAGGCACTCCCCTTGCTGCCTCAGCTAGCATCGGAATCCTCCGGTCGGCATATCGAATAGTATGCAGTTTCGTGGTCACATCGAAAGGAAGACCAAATTGGCCTCTAAAAAGCTTGGCGTGCTCAGCAAAGCGAGACAGTATTTCATGCCGGCACATCGCTTCCAACTATACAAAGCGCAAGTTCAGCCTCACATGGAATACTGTTCTCATCTCTGGGCTGGGGCACCCCAGTGCCAGCCCCTTCCACTTGACTGCATCCAGCGCAGAGCGGTTCGAATCTTCGACGACCGAGTTCTTTCTGATCGGCTCGGTACACTAGCACTGCGTAGGGATGTTGCATCCCTTTGCATTTTCTATCGAATCTACCACGGGGAATGCTCTGAGGAATTGTTCGGATTAATTCCAGCCGCCAAAATTCACGAATTTCAAAATTCACGATACCATCCTCAGCATCTGGATGCTTGGTGGTCCACCACTATGCGTTTTACTTGAAGTTTTCTTCCTCGTACAACTTCTCTGTGGAATTGTTTACCGCCGGCGATTTTTCCGGACCCATACGACTTAGGGACCTTCAAGAAAAGAGCTTACACCTTTCTAAAAGGCCGGCAACGCATCTGCAATTCCCCTGGTGTTGCGGTTGTTCATGGGCGGCGGTAGTCACTTATCATCAGGTGAGCCGCATGCTCGTTTGCCCCCTCTTCTATAAAAAAAATCTCATGCTGACCATTTGTCAGTCATCAAAGCTGTTACGTAACAGAGTGCAATGTGCCCTTGCACTTGAGATGTTTCTAATATAAGTAATAATTTAATATATCATACCTCTGCTACTGTTAGATTTTCAAAGTTGGTGGTGAGGTGTTGCAAAGGTGATTGCTCAGAGACACTCGTTGGAAGTGGTGGTAAGGGTGGTGAGCGTTCTCGTGAAAGTCGCCGACGAGCTCTCGGTGATCCTGCTCTACTACCACCTGGAGAAGATACTAGTGGCGATTGTGGCGCTCCTACACCAGTTGGATAATTGATGACCTGGAATAGATGATATTTTTTTATTCAACTTTTTATTATGGTCCCTTTAATAGCATCCACTATGGAGGCTTTGTTTGTACTTAAAAGCAGTTTTCTAACTACACTAACCTACGAAAACAGTTGTAAGAAACTCTTTATTTTTGAGTTTTATAACAATCAAAGAAATACTTTTTTATACTAAATTTCAGCCAAAACTATTGTCATACATAATATGCTTAAAAAAAATTAAAATATCACCTATATATAATGTTAATAAAATATGAATGATTTCAAGCATTGTTCAGTAATATACAAATGGTGGTGTAAGACCTAAACCACTCTTCACCTAGCTTGAATGTATTACTGGTATTATTTATAATTATATTTCGTTAATTACAAAACAAGGAAAACATTATAACAATAATTTTAATTTAAAACAAATCTTATAATTATGATGATATTGTCAATGTTCAAAATAGAAAGCCATATTTGTATACATTAATGTCTATATACATAAACAGATTATAATAGGCTGCAATTTCACATATGTAGAAATAGTGGCATTTCATTTTTACATCTCCTTCAAAAGCCTTCTATAATAATCCAGTGATGTCTTTTAAAACTTTCACTGTCCGGTTTTCAGACACAATAGAAAGACAATAGCAATGACCTATATGTAGTGCACGGGACAGCAAAAGGGTTAAAGAATGTGTATATTGGCACATAATTTGAAACATTTACAAATCTATAAATATAAAGCGAAATACCACTGGCTCATTCAATCATCACGAGATCTCCAAAACTATACTTGTGATCAACTTCAAATTAGGCATATTGGGAAATTCAACATGGATGTTACAACTTGTTATACTCAGACTGATAAATTGGTTTTCAAAATACAGAGCTTTGCACTGATGACACTGCTCCCAATCACCAGTCTGGGGTAATGGATCTGACATTTTTAAATGCAGATGCCAGACTGAAAATGACAGACACCAGAGACTCATTCAAAAATCATCATCATTAAAAAATGTAAGCTGTGAGCAGGTTTCATTATATCCCCACAAAGTATAGCAAGTATAGGAGACCCCCAGTCCCCGGCGGCCCCGCTATTCCTGGCTACGGTGGCAACCATGGTAACGGCGGGGCAGGGGGTGCTAAGAATCTCCGGTGGAGGTTCGGTTGCCACCTTAGACGACTCGACCTGGCAACGTACAACGCACGCACCCTGAGGACTGACGAGAAGATCGTGGAGCTGGAAGAAGAGATAGACAAGTTGCGCTGGCATATTATAGGATTATCCGAAGTCCGAAGAGAGGGGGAGGACACGGTAATCCTCGAATCCGGCAACTTGCTCTATCACCGGGAGGGCGACCATCTGTCCCAAGGAGGTGTCGGATTTATCGTCCACAAGTCTCTCGTTAACAACGTTGTAAAGATCGGGAGTGTGTCGACGAGGGTTGCGTACCTTATACTCAGAATTACCAAACGGTATTCACTGAAGGTCATACAGGTTTACGCACCAACCTCGGCACACCCCGATGGGGAGGTGGAGGAAATGTATGAGGATATCTCTAGAGCCATGCATTCCTCCAAAACCCAATATACGGTGTTAATGGGAGACTTCAATGCAAAACTAGGCACAAGAGAGAACGGTGAGCTGAAAGTAGGGAAATTTGGAATAGGGCAACGGAACCCAAGGGGCCAGCAGCTGGCCGACTTCATGGAGAAAGAGGGACTCTTTATGATGAACTCTTTCTTCCAAAAGCGGCCCCACAGGAAGTGGACCTGGTCGAGCCCCGACGGTTCGACAAAAAATGAGATTGACTTCATTATGACGACCAGACGACAACTGTTCAGTGATGTCTCCGTGATCGCGAGGGTGAAAACTGGTAGCGATCACCGAATGGTTAGAGGCACACTGAACCTAAACGTTAAGTTGGAGAGGTCTCGTCTAATGAAGTCAACGCTCCGTCCCCCTCGTGCTCTGTTCCAAAGTCCCGAAACCTTTCAGCTCGAGTTACAAAACCGTTTTCAGTGCCTAGAAGACTGCAATGAAGTGGACGATATGAATGACAAGCTCGTGGAAACTGTCCATGCGGTCGGAGCTAAGTTCTGCAAGACCCGCCGCAGAAGAACACAAAAACTCTCCGATCACACTCTTAATCTCATGGCTGTTAGACGGGAGATGAAGCTACATTCTTCAACAGACTTGACAGCATACAGGCATCTGAACAGACAGATCTCCAAATGCATGCGGCGGGACTTATGCAACTTCAATACAGCTCGTATTGAAGAAGCGATCGAGCGGAACCAAGGCTCCAAAGTCTTTGCCAGAGATCTGTCTGCCAGAAAGAGCCACCTGTCAAAGCTGAAGACAGAATGTGGCAGCATCGTTTCCGGGACACCTGAGATTTTGAGTGAGATTGAGAGGTTCTATGGGCAGCTGTACACGTCATCGTTGGAGCCACACGCAAGTGTGAGTAACGATCCAAGAGCGAGTCTCATCCGACACTATTCCGAAGATATCCCGGACGTCAGTCTGAGCGAGATTAGAATGGCTCTCCAGCACCTTAAAAACGGTAAGGCCCCAGGCGAGGATGGAATTACAGCGGAGCTTCTGAAAGTGGGTGGAAGACCGGTACTTGAAGTTCTTCAGAAGCTCTTTAATTCCGTCCTCCATGGTGGCATTACACCGGAGGCGTGGAGCAGAAGTGCGGTGGTCTTGTTCTTCAAGAAAGGCGACAACGCTCTCTTGAAGAACTACAGACCGATTTCCCTTCTGAGCCGCGTCTACGTGCTGTTTTCGAGAGTCATTACGAATCGTCTCGCGCGCAGACTTGACGACTTCCAGCCTCCCGAACAAGCCGGTTTCCGAAAGGGCTTTAGCACCATAGACCACATACATACCCTTCGGCAAATTGTACAGAAGTCCGAAGAGTACAATTTGCCACTATGTCTGGCGTATGTGGACTATGAGAAAGCCTTTGATTCCGTCGAAATTTGGGCGGTGCTGCAGTCCCTTCAGCGGTGCCAAGTTGACTGTCGGTATATCGAAGTGTTGAAGTGCTTGTACAGTAGGGCTACGATGGCTATCCGAGTACAGAACCAGAGTACGAAACCTATCCAATTGCAGAGAGGTGTAAGACAGGGTGACGTCATATCCCCGAAACTCTTCACCGCTGCATTGGAAGACGTTTTCAAGCTTCTGGACTGGAAAGGATACGGTATCAACATCAATGGCGAGTACATCACTCACCTTCGATTTGCCGACGATATAGTCCTTATGGCAGAATCGCTGGAGGACCTAAGCACTATGCTCAATGACCTCGATAGTGTTTCCCAACGGATAGGTCTTAAGATGAACATGGACAAAACAAAGATCATGTTCAATGTCCATGTCACACCTATGCCGGTAGTTGTTGGGAGCACTAAGCTCGAAGTTGTTGACGATTATGTTTACCTGGGACAAATAGTCCGACTAGGTAAGTCCAACTTCGACCGAGAGGTCAATCGACGGATTCAACTCAGCTGGGCAGCGTTCGGGAAGCTACGACACATATTTTCGTCAGACATACCTCAAAACCTGAAAACGAAATTGTACAACCAGTGCGTGTTGCCAGTGATGACTTATGGAACTGAGACGTGGTCCTTCACTGCTGGCCGTATGAGGAAGCTCAAGGTCGCTCAGCGAGCTATGGAGAGGGCTATGCTCGGAGTTTCTCTGCGTGATAAACTTAGGAATGAGGATATCCGCAGTAGAACCAGAGTAACCGACATAGCCCAACGGATTAGTAAGCTGAAGTGGCTGTGGGCCGGCCATATAGCTCGAAGAACCGACAACCGATGGGGAAGAAAGGTTCTCGAGTGGCAGCCTCGTACCGGTAGGCAAAGTGTAGGGCGTCCCCCCACGAGATGGAGTGACGACCTGGTAAGACATGCAGGAAGTCGATGGATGCAGGTGGCTCAGGACCGTGCTTTGTGGCATTCTTTGGGGGAGGCCTATGTTCAGCAGTGGACTTGTGAAGGGCTGTAATGATGATGATGATGAAAGTATAGCACTATAGTAAAAAAAAAATCATACCTCCATAGGTTGGCTGAGTGGTGAAACAATAATATTAGCTGGCCATGTATGTTGTCCCATAAATTCTCCCATGTTGTATTGTGGCAGTGGCAAGCCAGGTGGTGGGTGAGGCACTTCCCCAAGCATTGGTACTACAGCACCAGTCCCACTCAATACTGGAGGGGAGCTGAGGTCGCCAACAGTATCTGTACTTGTAGGCTGAAATAATACAACAGTTTTTATGACAATATAACTATACCATATTTATTAACATATAAAAATAAATTTTCGTTTGTTCATATTTTATGCGCTGCCATACCGTTCATCAAATTGCAGTAAAATTTTGTCAACTTATTGCTTGCACTTGCACAAAGGTTATGGGCATAGTACATTATATAATTAACTTACAGTAGGTGCCGTGCATATCTTACTGACAAATTTATTTGAAAGTTATATCAAATCATCATTATTATCATTTCTAATTAAACAATATAACTCTTCCAAATTTGAAATGATATTTCCACAGTTATTTCCTCTGTGGCAGCAATGCGCCGGATACTACCTAGTATACTATAAAGTTCCTAAAAGTTGTATTTTGCTATGACTTAAATATTTCTTTCACAACAACTTTAGTATGAATTTAATGTTTATGGTAAAACAGTCTGAGAGGGTTTTAGGGCAAGGAAATGTCTGCCGCGCTGCCCAATGCATGTTGACAAACTTCACATGACTTTTGAAATATATTTTTTTCTTATTTCTCAGACATATGTTTTCTCACAATGTTTTCCTTCACCACCTAGCACGTGGTAAAAAACCCTCTGAGAAATGAGAGGCCTATACCCTGCAGTGGGATATATATATAGGCCATTACATTACCTCACTTTTAATAAAACAGTGAATTTAAAGTGTATATACTTAAAACAAATACATAGTTTGGAGAAATATAAGGATACTGGAAGTTAAAAGGAATCATGAAGAGTAAATCAATACCAAACTAGCAATCAAAATGTCTTTCACAGCTGTATAATACCTTTATTGACTTATGGATGCTAAATATAGTCCCTTGCAAACAACATCAAAATTCAGCCTAAAGTATACCAGCAAGGAATTAACAAAAAATTGCCAGGTTCTATTCTTTGTTGAAAGCCCCAGGTAACCACAGAATATTGTATTTGACGTAGGAAGGGGAAAATATGCAAAGCCATATGGAAAGTCACTTGCAGCGATAAAGTTCAATTTAGCTTGCATGCCTGATTTATCTAATTAATGTAGGCTATTAAAACATATACAAGTAGTCAACATCAAAGAAGTGCAACTTCTGTACATAATACTATTATTTATTATGTGCTATAACAATCTTCAATTTCATAAAAGTTTAATTTTTCCCGTATGTGCTAGCAGTAATATATGGCCACATTGTTCTGGAATGACAGGAACCCATGGCCACTAGCAATAGCAAAGTCAATTTTGATTTTTAATCAGGATAGTCTTGTTACCAATAGCTATCAAAATCTGTATGTTTGTGACCCTTACCGATAACTTAATATCTAACACATTATACATACTAGTATATCTATAACTGTAGCCTGTGGTGGTCAACCTGCCTACTGAGTGTGGTAACTTTGAGTGTGTTAATTGGAAAAATCCTGTATATCCTATAATTCTATATATGGCAATATCCTATATATATATATGAGGCAATCTGTGGGGGAGGGCGATGTTTATAAGTTGTAATCGATACATAGATGGATTCAATACAAACATATTCTCCTTCACATACACTGGTGTATTATTAACATTCTAGACCAATTTATAATAATATATAAACAACTTTTTTTAAATAATGGCCAATTTATAATTAGATTTCAAACAAGTGACAATTATCTCAGATGTATTTCTGTTTGTATTAGTAAATAAAGAAACAAAATAATTTTCTGTTCATCAGAAGTTACATAAAAATTTAATAATTAATAGAGTAATGTAGCTTTTTTATTTATTTGTTTATGTGGCTGGGCTTATTGACATTGCAGTATTCCCTACCTAAAAATAAACAATGTAATTAATATCATGCTATGACAAACATACAGAAATACATATTATATGTAGTAAAAAATGTCAGGTAGTAATTGCCTCAAGTAATGTTGTCAAAGAATTGTTAATAATTAAGTAGATATTTTTTTTTGTGATTTAACTGACTCACAATCTGCTCTACTGATCAATCAATGAATAATGACTAATAATGACATAATATGTATCTGCTAAAATATATTTACTTAGTTACATGAACATAAATATGAAAAAATCAAAACAATGGCACTTACCTGTACCCCAGGCGTTTTAACAAACATGATACCAGGTGGTGGCCCCAAGCTAGACAAATTAGGTGGTGGAACTGACATATTAGGTGTGATACTTGATTGATTATGACATCCACTCACAGGTGGTACGTTAATATGATCTTGCTGTTCTTGGTAGTGTGTCCGATGATCTTCAAGCTTCAATTTATCTAATATCTCACCAAAATGTGATTTCTGGTCGAAAGTAAAGGCAGGATGATGTAATGCCATGGTATATAATAATAAAATTTCCTCCAAAAGATCGCCATACAAACCCTTTATTAAGCCACTCTGCTCTAAACTGACCATAGCATTATACAATGTGGTGGCACAAGCAAAATTACAGGAACGTAACAATGAAACATATAAGGCCATTTTTCGCCGTGTTCTTGGATCTGTGTTAGCGCCGCCGATGTCCGCAGCCAGATCTGTGGGATTGTTGGCTCTAAGTTCGGCACCACGCAACTCCTGAAAGTCCCGCTTACCGAGCTCTTCTAAATACGTGCCAATAAAGCGCAGTTCGAATGGTAAGCACATGTTTAACAATGTACACATTGCGTCTATGCGTTTATAGCTTTCCAATTCTTTAAACCATGATACCACGTCCTCTTTGCAAACCATTTCCAGAACACATTGAAATTTTATGAAAAGAATCAACCGGTCGCCTGCAGTCGCAGCACTTCCTTAGCTTATATTTGTTGGCACACACCTTTGTGGTGATAATTTGATGTTAATACTCTAAATCTTTTCGACTGTAACATTAGTAATAAGACTGTTTTAAGGTTTTTATCAGTATTCCCTAAGTAGTATACCTATTGGTTAAGCAACTACGAGCAATGCTAGTAGTTTTGTCTTTGCCTTGTCTACACAGACTATCTAGCAACTTGTAGATTCTACCTTGTCTATACTACAAAGGGTATTAGTATTCATTTTAAGATACTCATAGATAAAGAATATACCTATTACCCCTATTATACTACACTGAATCAGGGTCCCTAATATCCCTGTCCCTGTTACATTACACTGAATCAGGGTAGGGATATTCGATATATATCGATGCATCGACCTCACTCGATGTTTACAATACGATGCATCGAATCGATCCGATGTTTTGGAAAGTTATTGATATACTAGCTGTGCCCGCGGCGTAGCTTGCGTATATAGGTTTTACTTAAAGAATTTGACATTTAGTTAAGAGAATATTAAACGATTTATATCATTACTGTATCAATAAGTGGTAACAAAATAAATAATAAATAAAAAAAAATTTAAGAAAATTAAAAAAAAAATCGTTATCCTCAAAGATCTAAGTCGTTTATGATAGAGCTTCTGTGTAAACGACGTTGGAAGTAGACAGCCGGAGCGTAGGTACACAAATAGATTATGGGGCCTACTAACGCGGGAAATAGCAACATAGAGTGGGCCATGTGCAAAACAGTTAGTACTGAGGTCCACTCCTGGAACGCGTAAAGTTTGAGCTTGCGCTTTATTTACGGTCGTCGTATAACACACGCTAACTGGGAACTGAACACGCTTAAAACTGAAAGGAAAGTTATTTGGGATTAGAGGGATTCTGGGTATAAAAACAATATCACGATATTTTGTTGCAATTTTGTTAGTTTTTAATCGAGTTTCGTTGCATAGCTTGTCTGGTTTCTGATGATGTTTGTCGGACGCGACCCCCTTTAGGAAAAAGGGGCGCCACCGCAATTCAGAAAAAGTTGTAATTTATGTAACGCGATCTATTACGTTCTTTGTGAGAAAACATCTTTTTTTAATTTAAGAAAAACATATTTTTTGTTTCCCGTGTTTTAAGTATAATATAATAGAACGTTTTTTTACACACAAATCTTTTTATTACTATTTCTGAGTTTTATGGTGCTTTTAAACAGATTCGAACCTAGATTTCAAAATAATAATCATAACTTTCGATAGAATTAACCAATCTTAATAAAACAAAGATTAAAAATGAACTCGAATATACGCTTTATGATTTTCCTAATGATTTTCTTTGCAAAAAAGACATTTACTCAAAACGTTATGTGTTCATAATCTAACAGACCGACCGACAGACAGACAATTCTAAAAGATATAAAATGTACTTATTTAATGATTTTCAGTCCCCATAATGATTTTAGTCACAAACATACCTATATACAATGTACATAAATAGACACAATATGTTATCACCATGTTTATTATATGTATAGATTTAAAGAGAGATGCCGCTGTTAACAATTCTAAAAATAAAAGAGATTAATTGACGCAATTGATACATTATATAAAACATAAAAACACTTATAAATCAGTGCGTGCATAGTAAGCAAAAAAGAAAATTTGTAGCCGAAACCAACGAAATTGTTAATAGCTCTTTTAAAATTTTATTTACCAATTAGATTACTCGGCGGTAAAGAATAATTGAGTTTGTCAACACGCAGTAGGGCAACGATTAATATAAATATTTGCAGCAAATATGAAAACTCATCTACAGGAAAAAACCACAACCTGACTTTTTGTATTACATTTTTACAATACCGCTATCTATCAATGATATTGGTTAACTATTGTACATTAGACAGATAATAAGATTAATATATTTTTGTATATACTTATTACGATCTTTTTCTTTAATACTTTTGTTTACTGCGTTTTAGATATAATTATATCATTATAGAACATCATATTTTAACATCATTTAATTATGATTTATAATATTATATCAGTTTAAAATGCACTTGATGACTCAATCAACGCTACCATTGAACAAAATCGTACATATACCACGTACCCATACTTCAGAATATTTATCATAACTCTTGATGGAATGAACTGATTTTAATGAAATAAAGACTAAATGTAACCCGAAGATACACTTTATAATTTCCTTAACGATTCTCATGATATAAATTAGTACTTTATATGTGATACGTTAACAAACAAACAGACAGACAATTCTAAAAACGGTAGAAATGTATTTAATTACTTATTTTTAGTATCTCTCAATCATTTTTATTACAAAAATATAAAATGTACAGACGTCTGCTATTTACATTTTTATTATATGCATAGATATACTCGATGTCTTCGATGTATTTTCATAAAACATCGAATCAGTGATAACCAGCCAATGGTAAAAAGGTATACTTATCTATCACTATTAATATTATAATTTTTAAATAAGAAAAACTAAAAGAGATCTACATACTGCAGCTCTGATTCAGAAGTTATCATATTAAAACTGTTAATAGCACTAGTTGGCAACTGTTTGTCCCTTAAGACGAAAGCTCCAGGGTGGCCCGCGAAATTAAAATTTTCTTACGTTTTTTGCAATTTGTAGGTCAGTGTCAGGTTGTATCTTTAACAAAATATTATTCGCGACCGTAACGAGTATGTATTTACAGAATTATAATCATCATTACAACCGTCTATGTTAGTATAATCCTATTGAATCCAACTTAGAGAGCCGAGGTAGCTCAGATGGTTAGCGCTCATTGTTTTAAAATTTAAAAAAATATTTAAAAATTTAAAATTTAACTTTTATGAAATTAAAGATACTGGCAGCACAGAATAAATAATAGTATTATGTACGGAGGTTGCACTTCTTTGATGTTTATTACTTGCATACGTTTTAATAGCCTATATTAGTTATTATTAATTAGATAAATGCAAGCTAAATTAAACTTTATCACTGTAAGTGAGTTTCCATATGGCTTTGCATCTTTTTAGGAGCCGTGGTAGCTCAGATGGTTAGCGCTCGCTGTAAGCACAGTACTTGAGCAACCCGGGTTCGATCCCCGCTGGCATCAACAAAATTGTTAATTGCAATTTTAAGTGCTGATTTACCACGTGCTCGGCGGTGAAGGAAAACATCGTGAAGAAACCTGCATGTCTGAGAAATAAGAAAAAAAAATATTTCGAAGACATGTGAAGTTCGCCAACACGCATTGGGGCAGCGCGGCGGACATTTCCTTGCGCTAAAACCCCCTCAGAAATAAGAGAAGGTCTGATCCCATCAGTGGGACGTACATAGACTGCAAATTTACTTTACTTTACTTTACTTTTATATGAACTTAGAGTTTTGTATTTTAGAGGTTGTATTGGTGATTTTATTGATAATAATTCTATAAACACATACACCCATATTACCCTAGCGCTTTCACATTAAGCGGAATTAATAAATTGAGAGTGGCTGGTTGGCAACGCTGTCCTAAACAGAATTAACAAAAAGTCATCTGTTCTGTTTCGATCTTAGACCATTTAACCCAGTGCACTCACCTCGCATGATTATTCCCTTCTGCCAAGGTATTGGATTTAAAAATGTTGTACGTTTACAAAACCTGTTTAAGGAATCGATTTTGTCATTACAAGAGTCGTTTCCGCTGAATTAGGTGCTCTTTGAAAAATGCCGATCTGTGCGGTTAACGTGTGCACAAGCAGTCAAATAAAAAAAGATGAAGTTATATTACATATGTAAGAATTTTTATCGTGATACATGCATTTTGATTGGGTAATCTAGTAGGTAATATTTTATTAAAATGTATGCCTACTTGTAAAATGTGTAAAAAAATCAAGAGTGTGGCGTTTTAATGGAAACCAAAACGTTCCGTGTAGCGCTATTTTGTTTTATTTTTGATCAAGAAAATCAATCGTTTTTGCTCTTTGGTAATGAACTCGTACGATTTATAATTCATTTTAAAAATTCTTCACAATATGTTAGTATTATAAAATCACACCATTGTCCTATACAAATACATTAGAAAATATTATTTGAACGATGATATAGTAGCAGCAAAAGTCTATTATTCTACTTATCAGGAAAAAATGCTAAAAAATATGCTATACGCTAAACCGAATTTTATTCATGATGTAGCAAATTAAAAATGTGCTAAATTTAGCCATAATGCTTATTTGACAACACTGGGTGACAAACAAGCACACAGTCTACCTGATCGTAAGTGGTTGCCGTGGCTCATAGACATATACATCAATCCTCGATTACGAGTCAAAATGTAGATGCATTGTCCCCGTGACGACTAAGATGGAATGCTTCGTTTCCAGTAAAAAGGGTCTCTGGATCTCTACACTGACTATACGAAACAGAAAAGTTAAGAAGCTATTTTACGCGGGTATTCTGTTAAGGCGTGGTCCTTCCCCGGTCGAGCCAACCCATTCGTGCTACAACTATACCAATAATAAGATATAAGTATTTAATACCAGAAATAAGTATTTAAGTAAAATAAATCTAATTTCACCTAACATTTATATAAAATTACTTGCATTAGTGCTCCCTCTAATTGCAGAATAATGTACAGGTTAAGTAGTAAAAGTAAGGCAAAAACATTTTCTAGGTATTCTACTTACAGTAAGATCTATTTATATAACTAATGTATTAATTAAATTTATATAGTTTAATAAATTTGGGAACGATCAAAATTTATATCTTAGATTTGGTGGAGGATATTTCACAAGATTGAGCACTGAGGCGTTAAAAACAAGTTCGTGCGAGATAGTACTAAATAGGATTGTGTCCCTTTCTACTCAAGTGACCATACGATTTGATATTGTTGGACTTTTGGTGGACTCGTGTGTGAGGGTGAATATTTATTAGAATGTAGAATAAT